AAGAAACCTGTCCCTCTTCCCAGAAGTAGGACACAAAAAGAAGTTCCTCAGCCTCATAAAAAAGAAGCAGAAGATGAATCTCATCAGCAGATTGTACCAGTATCCAGCAGCAGCAGCAGCTGCAATAGTAGTAGTCTGGTGTGTCCCATGGATCAACTCAAATATAGCAGCATAGCAGCAGATGATGGCAGTGGCGACAATGATTGTGTCCTACCTCAGAAAGTTGAGAGAAAGAAGAAGAGAAAGAAAAATAATGTTCTCAGTCAAGCTGAGAAACAGATGGAAATAGAACTTAGAAATATAAAAACAGCATCAGATATAGAAGTTGATGGAAAAGAAGTTTCTTCTACTAGGAAATCATCATTCCATAAATCAAAACAAAAAAGTAGAGAAGTAAAAGTAGAAACTGCCCTGGTGACAAAGGAATCACAACCAGCACAGTTATGTTATGATAAAATAATTGGAATTTTTATTCATCGAAGTGAATGTTTGCAAGTAGATCCTCTCATACGACACCCGCTCGTGAAAGTTCATCTTCTTAATGCAGCAACTGGCAGTTACTTGAAAAAAAGCAACTTTGGTCGCTCAGTGTCTTTCTACGACGAAAACCAGGAGGTGGATTACATTCTGCCACTCATGACAGAGATGTTTGATTACAAGGAGAGGAGGTGAGGAGTGATTAGGTGTGAGGTATTTTGAGTTGAATTGTGTGGTGGGACATAATGATAGGTTAAGATGCAATGAAACAGGCAGGTATTGATCAGTTCAGCACATTGGTAATGCATGCAGAAGACACATAGTTTGAACCAGATCTGCACAAATTCCAGGAATAAGATTGACACTGTGCCTAACATTTTCTTGATAGCCCAAGAATTTTCTGCATAATAGTCTGATGATTTTATGTCTTTGCATATTATTATGTAATATTTTCAAATATGCACCATGTAGTTCTGATTCTGTTGTCTAGGTGACAACACAAGCATTGGCAAATAAATTTATATGATTGTTATTTCCATTTCTATATTATGTCTTCTTGCTTATTGTTTTTGGAGGTAGGATGTAAATTTTTAGAAAATTTGTGCAGGCCAATTGGACCATGGCTCTGACTGGTTATCATAAGTGATGTTTTTAAGGTTGTACTGCAGATACCAGGATAGTCCCTTGAACGTGTGAAGCCAAAATTCATCTAAATAATATTTGAGAACTTTGTCATTACCTCAATGAAAGCACAACACTTCTCCATTACAAAGATCAAATGGTTAATGTTGTTTAAAGAAATAATCCCTGTTTACACAGAATAGTACCCATGAAACTCTTAAATATAAATTTAAACATTATTGATTCTTAAAGCAGATAGTACATAGCATTATGATTGGGATTTAAAGGGTTAAATAACCTATGACTGGTTTTCATTTATTTTCCATTTTACCATGTATACTATTTTCTCTTCCCATTTAGTATATCACTGATGTATATTATATAACATCATTAAATAACCTATATCTTAATTGCGTCATGTTTGTGTTTTATTGATACAATATTTTTATTTTTATTTTCCGTCTATACACAAACTTAAAATAATGTTGTTTAAAATTATCTAAAATTATAACATTCTCAGTAGACACTGCATCTTGTTACATTTTTTGTATCGACGACATGTTTCAATGTGTATCACATCATCATCAGGTCTATCAATTTTAATATATTTTAAAAACTGTAGTACATTTTGCGTTGCGTTTATTGATTATTTTAATTTATTTAATTTTAAGTTTTTTGTCTCTTCCTTTTGGTTTGGAGGTTGTACTTGGATGTTTATATCGGGTTGTAATTGATGTGTTGTGTGTCCG